CCAAATTATACGTTGATTTCGGTAATCCTTCGCCGATTCCGACAGTATGGCAATAACTCGCCGATATTAAATATCTTGTTTAATTAATCATTTATCAATGAGATTTTATTTACAAAAATCTGATTACATATCATTGATATTGTTTATATTTAATCAAAGATGAAAAAATATATATACATCACATTAAAAAAAATAGTGTGTGTTTATTTGGGATGTTCGCGGAAAAATGTCATTATTAATTCAGTGTCATAAGCCAGAGACATAGATGACTACAATGTATATATCATAGTCCTTAACTTTAAAGGATCTTCTTCCATTTTTTATTAATAATTAAATGGGTCAAAACGGTTAGATATTATGCTAAACTTTGAAAAAGAATCTTTAGATCTATACAGGGTGTTTATATTGTTGTTTTTTGTTTTTTACATTGACTAAATCTTAAGTCTTTAAAAAATTATGAAGTTCAATAAATCCTATGACTTAATTCATCTACAGCTTGCTGAACAAACAGGCATTCTCTAACATAGTCTCTCCCCCTATGAAATATATCAGCATACCGTAATATTGGCACCCCACTGTTTTTGTAGTATATCACACTTCCCAATACACAGCTCCCAATATCCAGCTCGTTTACTTCCAATAAAGGTGACAGTATCATCTGTGCGTATATAGTTAACATCCATATCTCACTGTTTTATACGTTTACGGGTATAGATGATTTGTTTACTATTTAAGACTAAATAATCTATGTTTCAACGATTGACTTATTCGCAATCTTTGTAATATTTTTTTGGTGCACCAATAACGCAAATGACGACAATTTATTTGATACTCCAGAATGACCATGAACTGTCAAGTAACTGCCTGGTAAAACATTGATTTCAAAATGTAATATTATTGCATGTAATTATAAATCGGGGACTTTATTTATGGAAATCAAGGAATTGAGTTTTGGCAAACATAAAGAAAGACAAAAACTGGGACCTATTGTTATCCGTCATTTCAAACAAATCCTCTTGTTAGCAATGTCCTGAAAATATAACTCGTAATGACGATATTGCATTATTCCATAAAAGATGCAATGATAATGTTTGTAAATACATGCAAAAATAAATGATAATAATAATATTGAGTTCACATTCATAAACAAAATTAGAATCGATTCCAGTAATCCTAGACGAAGTGAAGCCGATTCCGGTAATCGCTCGTCGATTTCTGGTAGTATGGAAGAAATCATAGATCACCTTGTTTATTATGTAATAGGCAATTGCAATAAAATATTTTCAAAATATCATTTGAATTGTTTGTATGGCAAAGATATTTTTAAAAACGCTGAAATATAACAAAAAAACAGAGACTAATTCCGGTATTTACCTGTTTATTCAGGCACTGTGATAGTAATTAGTCTATCTTAAGATATCTAGTTTATAGTAAAAAAGTGATCTTTATTTCTCAAAAAAAATCTTCGTATATCAATGATATTATTTGCATTCATAAAATAACATAAAAATAACTATATTACAGGCTGATCCCGCCCATCCTTCCCATATATCGACAAGAATGACAGTAATTTGCCGATCTAGGTCTCTTGTTTTATTAATCAAAAGCGAATTTATTTACAAAAATGAATTATCGTTGAAAATGTTTATATTTTATAAAAACATGCAAAAGAAAAATATTCAAAAAAAATCACAAATAACCAAATTACAGGTCGATTCCCGGTAATCTATCGCCTATTTCCGACAGGTTTCCCGTTTTTTGCCGATCTTCAATATTAATCTTTTTATTATTATAAACAGCAATTTTTCATGAATCTTTTTGCTTCTTATTTAATACCTGATATTTCAATAAACATTATGGAGAAATCTTTTAAATTGTTTGTATTTAATAAAATAAAGTCAAGGTTATTTTTTAAACGTTGAAATATTGGTGGGGGAAAACAGACCCGATTCCGGTAATTGTCCGATAGCCCTGGCACTGCATAATATAATTATGCGATATGGCAGTAATTCGCCGACCTTAGACCTCTAGCTTATTATTTAATAAGGATTCTTCATTTACAGAAAATCTTTTTAATATCTATTATATTGTTTGCATTTTTTTCTTGCAAAGTCATAAATTACAATAATACAGGGCGATTCCGGGTAATCATTCGGCTATTTCGGGCTGTATGACAGTATATGTAGACTCGCCGATCTTCGATCTCTTGCTTTATTAACCAAAGGCGAAATTGAAATTTACAAAATAAAAGAATGAAAGAAACTTTTAAATATCATTCATAATATTTATATTTTATAAGACGAATATTAACAATGCAACAGAAACGTTAAAAAATGTACAATAGACTAAATTATACGTCGATTCCGAGTAATCCTTCGCCGATTCCGACAGTATGGCAGTAAACTCGCCGATATTAAATATCTTGTTTAATTAATAAAAAGTGATTTTATTGACAATAATCTGATTACATATCATTGCTATTGTTTATTTAATATCAAGGGTGCAAACATTTTGTTTAAAGTATAAAGATAAGCAAATTACAGGCCGATTTCGGTAATCCCTTTGCCGATTCCGGCAGTTTGCCCCCGTTTTCGCTGATCATAAATATTTGTTTTATTTTTATTTTTAAAAAAGCGATTTTTTTTCACAATCTCTAGGAAGGGTTAATGAATAATATTTAGGTTTTTTATAAAACATGGAAAAAGGAACATTAAAAAGTTGCATAAACAACGAAATAACAGGCCGATTCCGGACACGGGCAGTTTGGCAGTAGTAGCTCGCCGAATATTAGATCTCTTGTTAAATTAATCAAAATCGATTTTATTTATAAAAATCTTTTCATAAATCATTGATATTTGTTTATATTTATAAAATTGCAAGAAAAAACTTAAAAAAGTTTAAATTATTACAAAGTTACAGGTCGATTCCGGTAATTCACCGCCGATTCCGGTAATTCGGCCGATTCCGGTAAGTCGTGTAACCCGTTAGAAAGAGAGAGAAATAAAACAAGGATAGGTACACCAAATCATACTTAAATCAAATATGCAAACACATTTCTTATAAACCAGTAGAAATTATAGGACTTTCTTATGTATATTTCTTGTCAATAACCCAAAAAGAATCTATCAGGGGGACGGATGTTACATTTTTGGGGGGACGGAGATAATGTTTCAAGCTCATATTATACTCGTTTTAAATTTTAATGAGAATAATTTCATAAAAGTATATAAAAACGTTAAATGTAAAATAATTGAATAAATTTATGATATTTGCGTTTCACAATTTATCTGAAATTTGAATGAACATTTACAAAATAACTTAAAAAACATTGCTAATTAAATAAAAGAATCTTTGTTTCCAAATAATGCATTAACGTTAAAAGATTATCAACGTTTCCTTTCTATACATATTATTTACAAAATTTGTAAAAAGATATAAGATACATGATACAGTGTGAAGTAAATAAGTTTTCAGAATGAAACGTATGCAAGCTTATTGAAGCTTATAGAATTTCTCATTACTAAATACATAAATTATACACAATTAAAAATTTTCATTAAAAATTATAAGATTTTAAATTGCTGCAATTAAGTTCTATCGATTTGATGAAATTTTAAGTAAATTAATGGGGAATGTTAGCAGCATTATCAAAAGATTTCATTATGATTCAGTATCATAATCTCATTATTTCTAACTTTTAATAATTCTCTGTGTATATATTTCAGTGTACATGAACTGCTTAACTTAATGAACTAATTTGTCATTCAATAAAATTTATAGGTGCAAAATAATTTGCGAAGGGTTTATTTACAGAATAATTTTCACAATTATTCCAACTTTTTCATTACAGGAATCCTTACCCTATCCTTTACTTACAAGTTTCTTTCACTTTATTAACAATAATTAAATGGGTCAAATTGTATGAAAATGGTAATACCCCCCACTGTTTTTAAGCATAATAATTATATCACCCTAAGGGCTTAATTGGCACCCCTACTGTTTTGTAATATATCACACTTCCAAATATACAATCTACGCAGCTCCCAATATACAGCTCTAAACTTCCAATAAAGTGCCAGCCCCTTCTGTGTGTATAGAGTTAGGATCCATATCCCACTGTTTTATGAGGGGCTGGGATACATGGTTTGTTGGTTTGTTAACTATTTAAGGCTAAAGAATTTATGTTTTAACAATTGACCAATTTTAATCACAAAGATACTTTTAACATCTCTATCGTTTGCACCTCTTTCTATATAATTATCCTGTTATGGATTTTGTGTTTGTTTCTTCTATTTTTTTTAAATGGTATTTTATTTGTTGTGTGAAACATTCCTATACAGTTGCAAAGCTTACTACTTCTCTATCATGCATCATAAGAACAAGATAAGTTTCGTACTACTGTAAAAAGAATTTTTAGTTCAATTCTGTAACATCCGTCCCCTTCTGTACCCTTAGTTTATAAACACAGAATAACAAAAGATTATATTTGTTATAAATTCATATAAGCTTAAATATCATCTTAATAAACTCATAGGTCCACTTGATGTTAAAAATTAAAATATAAATTTTTATTTCAAAGTAAATAATTTTGTTTTCAGAGCAAAAAATACTGATTTTTTTTTCAAAATTAAGGAATTTAGTGTTCATAAATACTTTTTATTATAAATACATCATTTCAGTGCTTTATTTCTGTTACTTCTTCATTTTTCATTGTAACTTTGGTGCTTTAGTGTAAAATTTGCTTTTCAGTTACAGTTTATGTATTAATTAATTAATCAACATAGTGTAAAACCAGAGAGTTCATGAACTGATCATCAACAAGAGTTGGCAAACAAACGTACAGTGAGGAAAATAATGCAAGGAAACCTAATACTCGCTTACTCAAGTTTACTGTTGTCAATATTGAAATTCTTAAACTATGTTTCACACAAAAATATTCCCTATTTTTTTGGGTACTTAAAGATGGTTCAAGCAAATTGCTTTTAAAAAATTATACATACCTTGGAAACTCTATTTCATGTGAGTCCCACTCCAATCCATAAAATCTCTTCAATTATTGATCTTTACTGAAATATTTTTTGTATTTCAGTCTGAATCCCCGTTTTGAAGTCATAGCTGTCTGTCACTTGAAGTATTTACTGTGATAAGACTATAAGACATTTGAGCCACTACATCTTTCTGAAAAATTAAGGCCAGACTAGATCTATAGATATCTAAATCAAAGTATTAAAAAAAGAACAATATGACAAAAAAATGGATTCGTTTTAATTTAAATATTTTGATATTAGATCTATATTGCAATTTTTCTTTAGGGATTCTTATTTCACTATAATTTTCATGAATAACAAGATTAAACATATTTTAGGTAAAATTAATGGGAAAAACTCACCAATTCTATTTATAAAAAAATCTACTTGTAAATAAATGACAAAATTAAAAAAATTATCAGAATCTATATATATATATGTATAGTAGTTAGTAAATTTACTCACCTAGTCTTTAAGAAACAACCCGCAAGTCTACAGCACCTCTTGTAAGATCACATTAATTTACCCGTTTAATCCTCAGCTTTGCGTGTCTTTAAACTACACAGGCACACGCTCGAAGTTCAAAGAGTTTTGAACAGCGGCAACGGACAAATCTTTACGCTTACACGGGGGAGTCAGGTACTCCGTATGCAAGACACAATTTTCGTGACAGCATTTTCGTTTATCTGTGACTTAAAATATCTTTTGTCCCAGGTTTTAGAGAATAATTAAATTATCCTTTCCATCAATTATGAATAATTGAAATGTTGATTCATCAGAAATATCATTAAAACGTTTACACACTGTCATCGGACTGGACACCCCTTCAATGGCGTGAAAATGAAGTCGTCCAATTTTGCGTCATCAACTGCGTTGACCCCGTTGTGTGATTCCCTCTGTGTATTCGGTCATCAAAAAAGATTATGTGTCGGAGAAAACAAACTTCAGAAGGATATTTGTGATGTGGAAGGGGAAATGAACGAACACAGATACATTTTGTAGCTTTTGGTGAGTTTTTTTTGTTGTTAGAATCTAGTCTACAGTACAGTAACTAAGAAAAATCAGGCTGGAAATGAAGAACTTTGAAGACTTTATTGAAACTGGTTCTTGAAAATTTTCTAACTTTGAAATATCTGGGTAGATTTTGCTTATATTTCTCCAAGTCAGTAAAATCTGTGTCAAAATATTTTCAAAGTGCAAATATTCCTGCCTCCACCACGTCTTTTACCAAAATGAAGACCATGTCAGGGTAGAAAAAACTTGAATTATACCATGTGAGATTTCTTGAAAATTCAGGGTCCATGTCTATTTCACCCTGATTTTGCCAATTCTGGTTCAAAACAGGCCTGAATCGGTCCTGTTTTTCATAAAGCCATGCTGATTTTTCGTACAGGTAGTGACGGTCCGCCCTGTCCGAAAATATGGTCCGACTAGTCTCGAGTCACGGTCCGCCCTGTCTCGAGTCAAGGTCTGGCCTGTCCTGCAGGCCCGCCGCCCCCCCCCCCCCAGCCCAACAAATTGTGCGCTTTAGGGCTTTTTCTTATATAGATGATGGTCGCCCTTGACACATCTATTTGAAATTTCAGATTATAAAATCGGTCTGTCTTTGCAGTCGAAATATTGAGACTACCCCCCCCCCTCCGTCCCTACCATTTCAACATTTCCATAGAGCCTAGCTATTCATAACAACAACAACATGACACTATTGTTGTAGTTTTAGCAAGGCACCTGGTTAAGGTTTGATTTAATGATTGAGTTTGTATGAGAATTGAGACCTCATTTGTTGTCATTATTTATTACTATAAATCTGTTGGGGCTAGACTGTGTATCAGTCTGGGAGATTTTAGTTTGGTATCTCTGTCAACGGGTACCTGCATAAATAATGGACAAGAGGTCTGCAATTGTGTTTAGGGAACTCAATCATTGGTTACCATCATAAATATTCCAGGGATCAGTCTGTTTGTTTCTGGTACAGTTACTTGATCAACACTTGTCGTCATAAATATAGAAGGCTTAAATTTGTCAATTAACACTAAGGTAACCTCCAAATATGGAAAGTCAAAGTATTTCATATAAATACTGGGACAAGATTTTCTGGGGTAGTTAACATTCAAGATTCTAGATTGAAGGTTGAAGAATAAGATTCAAAATGCAAGAGTGAGATTGTAAGAGCTAGAGTCGGGATAGGGATTTTTGACAGTTAATTCTCAGTGACTTTATCAACCATGTGTGAGGAAGAAAAACTCTGTAACTTTAATTATTAATTGTAGAGTAGAAATTTAGAACATTTTTATAACAAATAAACAGTGAAATGAAATTAAGAACAGTTATTGTGTATATTTTATGTGGAATTATGGAAGTAGTAGAAATTATAATTACAAGAGAGAAGAATTTATAACACTATTACACAATTTTCATTACACCAATTTTTAAGTACACCAGTTCGATCTACATTTCAAAGGAGGTATAGTGAAAGTTGCTTAGTAGAATCTAGTGTCAGTTTAATATTGATACTAGATTCTAAATGGCATTGCGGAAATTGACTTTTATTTATATTCCTGGGGTAATAACAATCACTGGAGAGATGGGGGTAGTGGTAGGGGATAATATCAGGACACCCATGTAATGTTCACTAAGAAAAGATCAGGATCAATTGATCCTGATTTTATTTTCATTGTTTTATAAAACAAAAATTAATAGTATTGGTGCTAGAATGAAATGGTACTTATTCAAAATGTAAATTTTTGCTGATTTGCAAAGAAACAAACCTATTTTGGCATAAAATGAACAAATAACAAATCAAAATCAGAAATAATCAGATCAAAATAAGGATCAATTTTAGGATCAAGATCAATATAAAATAATAAAATGCCAATATCTTGCAAAAATAACAATTAGTTTATTCTAAAATTCCATAAACATTATTTTAAGTCCAATTTTATCAATTAATATTAAATATATCTAATCTATGTGGATAAACAATGGAAAATATTTGAGTTCTTGAATTTGATCCTGATCTTGACCCTGATCCTAAAATCTTTGTGAACACGGGGCCTGGGATCAAAAACAATTTTCAGAGTTGCTTCAAATTTCTTCTCGTCCTGCAATATACTATGCTACCAGTGGGTTAATATGAAATCAAATTCCTATCATTGAAAATGGAATTTACCCACACATTTTATAAAATTTTCAAATTTAAGTTCAGAATCAATATAGAACATTGTCAGGCACATGCAGGTCGCACATTGTAACCAAGTTAGAATTAACATTACAGAGCTTTATAAAGTGCAAAATTTATACATAACCTAAAACCAAGCTTTGTTTCCAGTTTTCAATTGTTAAATGTAAACAAATAGATTATGATAATTCAAGTGGTCTAGCACATTGGCAAATTTCCACCCGTCAAGTTCGGGACAAGCTCCTGCCTCAGTCCTTCTCGTAAATACCAGCAGACAAGTGGACTTTTTTATCCCTGGCAGTCATCAAATTTAGCACTGGCCCGGTGGCCCATGGCCAGTGAAAATTTGTTTGGGCCAGTCTGAGTGTAAATATTAGAGAAAATGTAGTTAAATATATAGTAGGATAAATTCAAATCTAGAATTCGGGCCAGTAAATTCAAAACCATAAATTCAATGACTGCCCTGGACATAAGAAGATTACCGTTTATGAAAGAATTAAGTTGAAATAGATTTATTAATTATAAAAGAAACATGCATTTATTGTTGATAAAAAAAGCATCTGATATTAGATCAACTACCTGGAAAAAGAAAAAAAAAACTAAATCAAACTAATTCAGGGCTGTCTGAGTTTGGTTGTATAGGCCAGTAAAAGTAAAGATACACCTAGAACTAATTGCAAAAGAATTCTTTTACCTAATTTTGGTGAAAAATTGTTGTTTTGTAACATTTATAATTTTTTTAGTTAACCCTTTCCCCCATGAGCATATTGTGAAAAATGGCCATTTTCACAGAAAAGCCTCCTCTTACAAGTTCAAACTGCTATGAAACTATGAAAAATGCTTCAATACTAATCAAACTTGGCACAAATGTTGACTGGACCATTGCCTTTGTAACGACATGCTCTGTCTTAAATTTCCTGTTACCATGGCAACGAGGGGACATCTCAAAATTGCCAAAAATCACTATTTTGCCTCAATTTTTTCCATCAAAATTTATTTCAAAGTGCTGCAACTTCTCAAGGGATTGAGATAGAGTCAAAGGCTTTTCAGCGTTGGTTACACGTTACCTTATGATCGACCTGGGGTCATTTTAAGCCTCTCACAAGTCCAAAATTTTCTTGGCGATGAGGGGGACTCAGCCTCCCTTCAAACCCCCCAAACAGAAGGGGGCACATCCCCCTTCTGGCAACCCCCTGATGTATCTTTTGGATGGGGGGCGGCGCCGAAAAAGTGCTCACTTTTATTAGCAACATTTCTCAAACAAAAACATGTGTTTGGGGCCCAAATAGGACATTTTTTCACTATTTCAGGCCTAAAAAAAGGGGGGTTCGAAAGTGCGTTGTTTCGCGTATATATGTGGTAAAGGGTTAAAAAGATAAAATCGGTTTTATGTAATGATTTTTTCCGTTTTAAAACTTGCTCTGACTACGCTACTATACCAGTAGTTCTAGGTTGACCCCCAAATTAGGGTATATTGTCTAGACTAGTAGTCTGGTTTTAGTTGTCCCCAACCATACACAGATATTGACCTTTCATTCAGGTGTTTTAGATTTTGTTTTAATTTTAACAATAATGTTTTAATCTTCAGACTCATAATGACCTTTTAGGTTTATACACTTTTGATACATGTAGTTTATTTATTTATAAATGTGCCTCACAATTATAGATTTCTAATGATTTCTCCCAGATCCAGATTTATCACCCCAAAAATGTTTCACTTTAAAAGTGGAAAATGTTTAAAACTGATTTTTCCCCTTGATAGGGATGAACAACAGCTCAAGATATACAGCCTAATTTGTTAAATTAAATTCATCCCAAAACTCAATTAATTGAAATCTCAATCTTCAATATGCTAATTGCTACACAGACCACTGTTGTCACAAGTTTATTCAACCAAAATTTTGATAAAAAATAAATAATTATATAAATGAATGATTACTTTTTGCTATTTAAATTGATTATTTGATTGCAAATAATGAGGTTGATGTGTACTAAAATTGTCCAAATTATGTTCAGAAAATAAAGTGATGATGGGGACTGCCACCCTCGATCAAAACCCCCAAACAGAAGGGGGCACATACCCCTTCTGGCAACCCCCTGATGTATCTTTTGGATCAGGGGGGTGGGTGGCGCCGAAAAAGTGGTCACTTTTTTAAACAGTATTTCTCAAACAAAACAAGTGTTTGGGCCCTAAATAAGGCATTTTTTTCACCATTTGAGACAACAAAAGGGTGGGGGGGGCTTAGAATAGAAAGGTGTATATATCTGGTAATGGGTTAAATTATAGCTGCCATTTTTTTCAAATACATTGTACACATGTATGTCTGACTGTGCCCTAATGGTTCTAATGGATGACAATTGACATAGAAAATTTTACTGGCTTGACTTAAATTCTATTACACTATAATATAAAGCATATATTCTGAGTAATACAAAAAACATGTACATGTAGTTAGAATATCAAGCTTATGTGGAAACTGTAACAGCTAGTTTAATTGCTTAGAAATTTTTTGCCCTTAGGGTCAAAGTTGAAAATTCCCTACAAGAATTCGTAAATTGAAAGGTAAAAAAAATCAGTAATGGCAGAGCTTTTCCATATTGTTAAGTGATATGTGATGAAAAAACAAATCTAACCACATGACCCATATTGCCATATTCGTACCCAGTATATTGTTTACTCCTGAACATTTATATAATTTATGTACTATGAGTTTTCTAATATTCAAATAGGAAAACAAGTTGACTCATTAGATTTAAGTGTCTTATTGTTTGTAAAACATGGTTTAAAAGTGTATATTATGCATAGTACTAATGTCTCCCTGGATTAGAAAATTCACCACGAATGCTTGGTACATATTATGTTAAATTCTCAATTTGAGTGCATGTGATACATTTTTTCCCCATTTGTTTGGTACTGGCACCATTAAGAAAGTAGGGGGGGGGGGAATGATGACACTGGGACCAGTGACTTTTCATAGCAATCAGTGACAGCCATACCCGGGTGTAGATTTTCCAAGATTTTTGGCTCAAAATCCTTGGGAAAAAACCTCGGAGTATTGGAACTAGAAAATGCAAAACTTTGCTATTAAAAAAACCTTGGGAAAATAGGGAGAGGGTGATAAACCTTGTAAAAAATTTCCGAGTTTTTTTTTAAAAAAACCTCGTAAAAAGTATGACCTCGGAGTATTGGAACGATTTCCAAGGATTTCAGAATAAAAACCTCGTAAAATAATTTCCGAGGATTTTGTTTAGAAAACCTTGGAAAATGAGTGACCTCGGAGTATTGGAACGATTTCCAAGGATTTTTAAAGTGT